CATAAGGCCGATATTAATTCACCCCAATCAATATTCCAGGCATACTACGTCATATAAAATGACGCTATTTCATAGGTTTCCCATCATTTGAAAGATTTCAACGTGGATAAAAAGGCTAAATAGTGATTTTCATTAATAACAAAAATAAGATCAGAATTAAGAAACAGATCAAAATTAACTTGGCGTTTGCATCATATGCCTTCCTATATGACTTATGATTAGTCTCTGTACCAACAGAATTTCGATGCCCAAATATGCGCAAATCCAACCTTCGTATACACGAATTCAATTGGGCCACATGGGTAAGTTGGATTTACACAGTAAACAAAGTAATAGAGCGAAAGATCAATAGAGTTTTGGTCAAAATTGAAGCGGGCGGATAAAGAGATATAAGCAGATAGGAGGCCCAGTGATCTAAAGTAAAAATGAGGGATGTGGATATGGAACTATGATACAGATATACCAAACAAAAATATTGGGAGGGTCAAAGCTATTCAGGCTTGTAGTGGGATTGTCGATAAAGCAAATTTTTATTTGCCGCTAAAATTACGTATATATTAAGAATAAAAGGGTTTTTAAATTACTAGCTACCAAAGTTATGGTACGGTCTCACCATAAGAAGTTCACTGGCATGTACAATGTCGGCTATTAGTAAAGATCATTAGGCATAAGGCCCTTCATTTTTCCTTTGTTCTTAGATCCTAGTTTTCCCATTACTAGGCCTGTTACTTATACTTCAACTCAAGCTCAAGCTTCAAGTTCTAGCGCCGCAATGAATGCATATTTTAAGTTGAGCATGCAATGCTAACTGTTAAAAATTCGTTAAAGCATTTTAAAAAATTCACCTAATATTGGGCATGTGCGCAAGCTTTCTAGCCGAAGCCGGTCCTTACTAGGTGTTTGTTTATAATATTGTTTTTCTTCTTACATCCAAGACCATTAAAGCAAGAATAGCAAATATTTGGCTAAATCCTCTCACCTTTTTTTATCGAATTCAATGCCAGGTGTCCAGTGGAGGGGCTCTGAATGAGGGAAAGAAATGCATACATGATTAATTAAATAATACTTAAAACACGATCAATACAAATTCATCCCAAAATTGGCAGATGGATGATCCCATTATCTCGTATAGCTCAACAATTTAAGATGGTATATTATGGGTGAACCTCTAAATGTCTTATGGAGAGCAGAGACCTTTGAAAACACCCATTAACGTAAGGAAGATACCTGCATTATGCATTTAATACAGGGATTAGGTGGAATTCAAGAAAAACGGAAGTCCAGAAATATAGGAAAGGAATGAAATTTAGAAATAACACGAAAAAATAAATAAGGACGCAATACAAATTGTGAAATATTTTTCTCGAAATCTCCTTTAAATTATCTTTCTGCTGTGAAACCTAGGCCAAACCAACTTCATACAACGAAAAAAGGCAGCGATTAAAACAAAGGCCACATCGCCTTTACGTAACTAGAAACTTGTAATAAATTATCTTGATGCCCCTAAGCAAAATAGTTTTGCCAACTTTATATGGGCAAGCAAAGTACTAATAATATATACATTTTTCATAGAAGAAATAAATAACATTAATGAAATATTAACATCATTATCATGTGATGAAATAATGAAATATTAGGCGAGCATTACTAAACGTAAATTTACCTCTTTACGAGTGGAAAATACAGAAGATGTCAGATCAGTCAGAATGGGTAAGATAAGGGATGGCTGATCGGATACTACATTAGGTTTGTCTATAGAAACTGGACCACAAAGTCGGCCATGCCCTTCGGAATCCAGAGGTGAGAGTTCAGGAGGGGAGGGCTCAATGATCCCCATGTCTTCAGTCTCCACTTCTTCCTCTGGCTTCATTGTTTCGACCTTTATGCCATCTTCCGCTTCTTTCATGAAGATTAATCTCTTTCCAGATTCATCCTCCAAGTCTCTAGTCATCAAGGGGTAGATACGAGGCCGAGAATAAGACTGACGAATAAGCTGTTGCTGCTTATGTATACGACTGCAATGGTGTTGGTGATGATGACGGATTCGGTGATGAAGATGCCGATGTTGATAAACCGTGCTAGATTGCTTTGCAGGAGCAAATGAACAGTGAAGGTCCACCTGAGTCAAAGCTTCTTCTGATCCCTTAGGATTTATATCACAGTTCACAAGACGGGGAAATGATACAATAGGATTAGAATTGGTGATTTTAGTTAAATATGAGAAGGATGTAGTGGTCGGCTTTCTGCCTGATATGGAATGAGGAGTAGAAACAGGGCAGCTAACGGATGGGGAACCAACGCTGCCGCCTCCAGATAAGGACACTTTTTTAGGCTGTCTGGTGTCAGACAACAAAGGAAGACTGACGATTGTATGCGCTGTCGGCGAGGTTCCAGCAGCGGCGTTGATAGCTAAGGGAGATGAAGGGGAAGAATAGGCAGTGGAACTTGTAAGGGCGTTTGATGAGGAGCCAACTAAAGCTGTGGATTGATGAGGAGAACTTGTAGGGCTAAAGTCCACAAAGCCGCTAGTGCTGGTTACGTAACCACCACCACCACCATAACGACTAGGCCGCTGGGTCGACCAGCGGGAATGTGGCTGTGGCAGCTCGAGGCCTTGGGGAAGGCGCGCCAGTGCAGCATCTGGATGGTCCGCCAAGTCACCTAGTTCTTCCGAAGTCAGGCCATTTGGAATGCCGATCTGAGTGCAAAGTTTGCGGATAGCAGCAGGGGCAAGTTGTTTTTGACCAAAAGCCAAAAGCTGAGGTAAAAAGTGAAAAGTGAAACGATAAATAGATAATATGGCCCCTAAAGATCAACAGGTAAAAGAACCCTTTTTTGAATCTGCAGTATCTAAGGTTGATTAAGCTTAAATTATTTAAATGCAGTATAAACAACGCATACTAATAGATTACATGAACAAAAGGGGTATACATAAGATTGAATCATATTTTGTGATAAACGATGGATGTATAGAATAATTAAAAATCATTTTGGGCTTATGCAGTAAAGCATGAACATGGGATATAACCGACCAAGTATAATCGATCTAAAAATGTTCCCGTAATGTTCATTTGGAACCCTTATGACAGAGACAAAACATAAAATAATAAGCAACTAAGCATTTTTCCATTAATAACGATACAATTTAAACATTGCAATATAATATTGCTGCTTTCAGGCTTAAGAAAATAGTACAATCGATAAAAACAATAGAAACTTGATCTAGGCATTTAAGGAAGATATGTAACAAAACTGGGTTTCGAATAATCTCTTAATCGATTGATACTGGAATACCTTTCATTTCGTTTGAGGTGAGTGGAAGAGATTCATGAGTTGGTATAATCGGAAGCTGTGGATGATTTTACTTAGGCGTCTCATGTTTGGGTTAGATAACCTATGCTATGCCTAAATGTTTGTTGGAAAGTCAAGTAAGTCGCTGAGGATGATATGTGAAGTGAATGCAGAGGCGTGAAACGGGTGCAATCGTGACCGAACAGGTGCATCCTCCCACAAAACACTTATACTTTTGCTCCTGCAATGTTACCGCCTGTGATTGCGTTCCATTGTATGAATGTTGTGAGAATGCATTGGTCTTAAAATGAGTGTGACATGAGAGTCAAAAGCAGATTCAAGACCAATCAAGCCTCCTCTTGCTTGGTAGCAATTTTCGTTCGCCCATTTCTCTCTAATCCTATCCAATAGCCAAAAATAGTTATTCCTTAACTTCTCAACCAGAATTCTCCTGTCTTCTCAATCCCTGGTCGCGAGGCTTAACTTCTGCCAGACACAGGCTTCTTATTATCACAGACTTCATAATTCCTACTTTGATTCCATACGTGTGGTTGGAAAAGAAATTAAATATGAAACTTGCATCTGTGGGTTTCCTATACACATCTATAACTAATCTGGTCCCTTCCTTGCTAACTGAGACACCAAGAAAAGGTAAACTACCTCCCCTTTCTAACTCGATGGTGAATTTCGCCTTTCCATCGATCCTGTTCATCAAACTAATAAAAACTTTCAGGTTTTCTGGGAAGACGAAGTTCACCATCGATCTATAAAAGGAAAGTAGTTTACATTTTCTTGAAATCCTAGTTATCAAGAGGTGCTCAGATTAGGTAGAGATGTGTACTCGAAACCCACAGATGCAGGTTTCCTTTTGAATTTATTTTCCAGCCATACTTATGCGATTAAAGTAGGAGTTATGAAGTCTGTGATAATAAGCAGCCTGTGTCTGGCCGATGTTAAGAATCGGGACCAGGAATTGACAAGACTAAGGAGAATTTTGGTTGCGAACAATTATCCACGAGGGCTGATTAACAATTATTTTGTAATATTTTCAAATATGATGGAGGGAAATACATATATAAGGCTATAGAAGAGGTTAGACCACTCTAGTAGAGTCCTTAAATTGCCGTCGTGCAATCCGTCGAAGATAGTCGAGCTACTGAGAAAGTGGAGAATCAAAACTATTTATAAAGAGAAAATAACACTTTCCTCGATATTGCCTTCATTTCTAGATTACTGTGACCCTCGTTCCAGATCGAGCTGTTACAAGATTTTGTGTTCATGCGATAGCGTCTGTGCGGGAGACCTATAGGCCCATGCATAAGAGGTAGCTGAACACAAATCAACCTGCCCAGGTGATTCCAAAAATCGGAATTGGCCAAACACGGCTTGCAGAGGACACCAGATAGACTGGTCTAATTCAGAACGTTTAGCTGGATATGAGGACTATACCAGTAAGCAAAAGTATAGGGAAGCGATAATAATCAACAAAATAGTTAACGCCCTGAGTAGAAGTAATTAGCATAGAAGCTTTAGTGGAAACTCTTGTGGCTATTTTTTAGTGTAAATAAAATGCAAACTATCAATGATCGTGATATGGTGAAACCAACTTTGGTTGTAATATAGCATGGAACTTGGCTTCCATCAGAATAATTTTAGGCTATGAAACATAGACACATCGCTTCGTGAAACATTTTATTGAAGAAAAGTTGAAGCCAAGTAAGAAATACAGGCTACCTTAAAGCAGCAACATATAAGCTCATAAATAAATTCAATCTGTTGTAGTAAGCAGATTGGTTTAATAAAAACAATTTGAGTGATATAAAATACTTCAGAGAAATAAATACAAGGAAAGACAGTTACCTTACGGGCTCTCTGATAGTAGATGGTATCAGGTGGATTGTATAGCATAGCATTGTGACATGTTAGAGCTAAGTCGAATAAATAGTCGAAAGCCGAACAATAGACAGTTCTAGATTGTAATCGCGAGGCCATGGTTCCCAAATCCATAGGATTGGATATTATCTAAATAAAGTGTAGTTAAATAGATAAGGGGAAATAAAAAAGCGAAACGTTTAAATTTACTAATAAAATGCATGGGTAATACCTGCATTAAAAGCAATGGCTAATTTGTTGAATAATTAGCGATAACCAGTGAAC